GAATTTTTCGTTTCGTGTAAGCTCGCACGGCACAAGAGACAAACAACAAACAAGTGGTACTTGCGCTGGCTGGCTTGTGGGTCATAACGAAATCGGCGCACACGCCGAGGAAATTGCAAGACGTCCTTCGGGCGACGAACCGTTTAATTATGTGATTACACTTTAACCACACTTTTTACTTAAGTTGCCTGCGTCTTGCTCGGCTGCGGCTCGCGTGCGTGTATCAAGCGCCCACATTCATTGTGTGCTGACCTGGGATAATATCTTCTTGTATTTTTTCCTTCATTTTTATTTTTTGTATTGCTACAACACACATGTTTCACATGACAAACAATTTAAGTTTTGAGTAAGTACGGTATTTATTACTTTATTGAATAAAAACTAAAAACATGTGCATGGATTAAGTATAATGCTGGTGTTTATTGTTAATGTGAATTTGTGTGCGAGTCGTTGACGAGAATCGATTTTTCATTTTTCGGTAATAAGTTGTGTTTTGTTCGAGTGTTTGCCAAATGTCGCAATGTCACATGTGCGTTCGAGTAATCGTTGCGTGCGTCTTTTGTTCTCTCGCAATCGTTTACCAAGTGGTTATTAAGCGTATACGCTGCGTTTTTAGGATTCTGGCACGTCCTGTTTCAATACGCAGTGTTTAGATAATGTAATTTTGTTTTTATTATGGTGACATCATGTATTTTTATTTTTTTCTTTATTAAAAGCTTTAAAAACACAAAAAAAATCAAAAAAATTGAAAATTTAACTTTTTTCTAAAAAATACACTTAATAATAATAATATTTATAAATTATTTTATAGGAAATATTATTATTTATCCATATAATCAAATTTTATTCAAAATTTTGCAATATTTTTGATTTTATGACAATTTTTGTTCAATTTGCAATAAAAATTACAAAATTCACTAATTTTAAACCCAAAAAACTAATTTTTCTTGCGTAAAACAATTTAGTTATTATTTAAAATAATTAACTAATTAAACACTTGTGAAATTTTTCGTTAAGCGATAAAACATCCATTAAAAAACAATAATTTACGAACAATTAAAAAGGCACAACAATAGAATCCTATTACCGACATTACTCACTTTGGTAAGTGTGCTTAAATACGTAAATGTAACACACAATGATTCATAACTTATTATAAATATTATTTCATCCACATTACGCATAAATTACCGCGCCAACAATCACATTATTGTCTTCGACCACATTCTACAAGCGTAAACAAAGCCTAGACAGCAAAATAAAAAACGCTAATATGATCTTCATTAAAGATTGTTTGCGTTTTTAATTAACTTTTGATTCGGAATGAATGAAAACGAAAACGAGCACGTTCTGCCCAGTTGACGACGAAACTGAAATTGAATGTTACGCGTTAGACACACATGTGAATCGTCCGCAATTGCGAACAATGTTGAGTGCGCGCAGCAGAAAAAAAAAGCACAACAATCGAAGCTAATGACCATGAAAACGGTGGTGCAACACATGCGAACTGCGTTACATAATCTTCCGAGGAGGCACGGTCGGTCGGCGAAAGAAGTAAGTATTGTACAAAGAAGTCGCGGCACGCATTGTGCGCCAAGCGTGGAAGGTGTAACAATTAGATTCGACTGAACTACATATACTGAATGTTTAAAGTCAACTTAACTTAACTTAAGTCATTTTTACTTAAAATTCATAAAAATAAAAATTTTATTGAAAAAAAATTAAAATTTTGGGTTCGTCGCTTCGGAGGCATTGTAGTCTCCAAAATTATTTCAATGTTAATCGATTATTTACGTATGCAAAATGTTTGTTCATCAATTAAAACTATTTTCGGTGATGTTACAGTGTCAACCATGGTGTTGTTACGTGCTTGTGACGCTTAATCACGTTTTAATACGATTCGCAACATTTGCTAATATTATATTAGACTTCATCCACGCTGGCCAAATGGAAGGTTACGTGATGGCAAATTTAGATCACACATTATGTCGTACGCGGTATGGAGCAATACGAGTATGCGAAAAATATAATACTACTGCTGAAGTAGTAGAAGTACTTTTGTTCTAATTTTATTTCTTGTTCTTGTTTGCGCTGCGCGATATTAAATCATTATATTAATATTTCCTCACGGTCGTGGGTGTTGAATTCTAAGAAGAGCACGCGTCGCCACATAACGCAATTTGTAATTTTATTTAGTTCAATGCCGCCGCCGCCGGTGCGCTTGCGTTGTGTGTGTGTGTGTGTGTGTGTGAAGCGATTGTTCTTCGCATTGTGGAAGTCATTGTTTGTTGTTGCGCCGGGCGTTTTTACACTTTTGATCTCGCGCAGAGTGCAAACACACTTCGCGGTCGCTAACTAACCGGCACGACAATATTTAGCAAAAACCGCCAACGACGAAAATCGGTTAAACGACATGGGAATGGAAACGAGAGTGAAAACAATGCGCATTCAACAAACAATCACCACCAGCTCAAGTTTAACGAGAAAAACAGCGTATTACAACATTAGAAAATTAATATTTTTCAAATTTAATTTATTTTTTGCATAAAAAGAAACTAATTGTTCTTGTTTTCGATTTGTAGTAAAACTATTCAAGCGAGTGATTTAAATTTAAATTAAAAATTTTACAATTTAGTGCAAATAAAAATTTAAATTAGTTTTAAGACAAAAAAAAAACAAAAAATAAATTATTTTTCGTTTAGATTTTGTAATTGTGTATATAACCAATAATTTTTTTAATAATTTAATTATGAATTTCCTCTATAAATGTCCATCCAAGTTTACAACTTGCTAATCCATAGTGTCCGTAATAATTGAACCATTTCAGGTCACAATCGGCCTTTTTTTGGGGACATAACAATAAAATATGGAGCATATTTTAGTACAGCCTAAGCATGCCGCCTAATAAAATGTTTTAGAGCATTTTAGAATGTTGTAAACTCATAAGAACATAAATGGATTTTTTTACTATTGTCGGCGATGTTTTGGGCGCTTTTATATTGGCAATTGCCAAGTTTTTTCGCCGCTCCAAATAAAAAATCGGCACGTCGGCCATTTTTATTGCTACAAATGTCATAATGTTTATTGATGTAAAAAGTAAACAAATAAAAAACACAAAAATCACCAAACCTAAACTTTTTACTACAAGATTTAAATTTTTTTCGAAAAAAATTAAATTTTAGCTAAAATTTTGTTCAAAAACCAAAATTTTTGTCAAAAAAAATTCAACTTCCGTTGGTAATTCCAAATTCAACAGGTAGAATTATCCCATCCCGAAGAAATATGAATTAACACGAATTACTCTTGTACTACAAATTCTAATCTGCAATCTTTTGGCAGTTTCTTTACGGGAAGACTCGTAAAAGTCGTAAAACAAACACTGTGGTCACATTTGCGGTGAGTGAATGCTCTGCAGAATTGTGTGCGGACATGTCGAGGCCACCCCCGTCGTCATCGCACCCTCTCCGATAAAACTTTAACCGTTTTTGCTATTTTACCATCCGCACACTTCGAAAAATTTGTCTTCATCGGTGCATTTGTGGTGTATTGCCCCAATAAACCATTAACGATGCTGTGTGACGATTGTCCCGACTAGCCACAAGCCGGGGTTTTATTGCCGGTCATCATGTGCATCATTGATGGTTCACAGACCAAAAAATGAAGAAATAAAATAAAAATACATATTTTTACACTTGAAAAATAAAATCTTAAAAAAACCCAAAACTAAACAAACAATTCACTCAAAATTCCCAAAATCTCAAAATACACTTCATTCTTAACTTGTCAACCCTTATTCTTAAATGTGAATCCTTCATTCTAATTCTAAATATTTTAAAAGTCAAAATCATCCGCACGCCCCTCTTACCCAAAAATATTATTCAAATGTTTTCAATACGCGCACGTTTCGTACATGGCTAAATTTGAATATGAATATGAAAGTTAATCTCTGTCCTAGTTGGCAATAATTACCACGCATTATGTCGCCCGTCTGACCTTCCCAGAACAAGTGCATTGTGCGCACATTGTGGAAATACTCGCCGGAGTACGCACGACCGAAAGGGATGAATAAGTTTAAGTTGACTTTCGGGTTATTTATTGCTCGTTAGCGTGCGATTCGGGGCGGGGACGGAGACTTAACGCATGGATTTAACCCTTTGCAAGCCGGATTTAAAGGTTGACTTACTAATTCGGCAATAAATCTAGTCTGGCTACTGTTTGATGCATTGATGAATCAATGACGTGGCATGAATTGGAAATTTTCAGAAATTTCATAATTACAGGCAAAATATTAGTGATAATTAGATGATTTTTTTACAGAATTGTTTATAATTAATTGGAGAATAATATTTTTATGTATTTTATATAAAAATTATAATTTAAAGCTTTTAAAATTAACTTTGAAGTTGAAATTTGTAAAAACTGAGAATTTTTTTGATTTTTTTCAAAAATCTTCAAAAAAATACGAAAAATTATTATTTTTCTAAACTTTCCTTTCGACTTATCGATTCCCAATTAAATTCTCTATAAATTACCAATTTTAAAATTTAATTTATCTTCATATTTATACCTTAAAACAAACTTCAAAGTTGACTAATGTTTTGGGTTCGTGTCTTATGGAAAATTGAAGTCTCCAGTCAAAAAGCTCTCCTAATCTTGCTAAATTCTAACAAAAAACTAAATCCTAATATGATTAAGCTTAATTAATCCCTCTCTTTCATTGCACACGTCCAGATCACCTCAAAGAGGATGCGGATTCGATGGAATCACCAATTTCGTATTTCGGTAAATTCGTGGCCGAGCCAATGACTCGATTACGCTCCGGCTAACGGCAGATTTGGTGTCGCGCGGCGCTCTCCGAGGGAGGGACGCGGATTAGCTCCCCACCCGGGCGGTCCTTCCGATCCGCTCGACGCGCATCTTCCCAGGTAACCTCCTTGCCGCGTCCCCCTGCTCGCCGCACCTCATCACCAGCGACCACACCATCTCCTACCTATTCTCAAGCGCGTACAAGGTAGACGCGGGCCGGAGGTGTTCCTCGGTGCTCATTCTACGAGTCGAGTCCTTGCCGAGCGGACGGTGCGTGCGTGTGCAATCTCTTCAACACACGAGTGTGCTGTGCGCATCAAAATCACCACACAACACAGTTTTCCACGGGACTATAATAAACACTATTTTTATTATTTTTTTGGTGCATAAACACAAGTTCGATATTTTTACATTAAATAATTTTTGCGTTCAAAACGTTTTGGAGTGAAGTGTGCTAAGTGTGCGGACAAACATCACCTACTTCAGTTTTGGTCACTAGAAGAATAACGCCGAGGCTGAAGAAGATTTCACAAAATTAACCGAATTATCACCGATGCGTGTGCAGCGGCAGCAGTGAAAGTGCAAACACATGATTGAGTTTAATTAGCGCGCGCGGAAAACGAGCGTTGATTGTGTTAATCAGGAAACTTCTTCGAGTTGAGGAGACTTTAGCCGCTGTTTGGGAAACGAAAACTGGAGCGACGGCGGAGTGCGCGGCGCGCGTGATTTGCGCGCATTAACACTTGTTAGGACACGGCGTGTCCTACTAGGACAAAGTGCATCCGTGCCTCAAGAATCACCAGCGGCGCAAACGCGCTAAATGATTGTTTAGTGGTTTAATCACGGAGGGCAAACAACGGCGCAGCTTGAATCTTGACCAGCGCTAATCTTTTCTTTAACGGTAAGTTACCAAAGAGAAAAAAAATTATTCTGAAGACAATTTTAAAGATTTTTAATTTTTATAAACAAATATTAGGAGTTTATTATCTCCTTTATCAGTGTGAGTTAAAAAATCATTAGGAAATGTACACAGTTATTTTTAAAATGAGTTTGAAGTTCAAATTTTGATGAAAATTTCAAATTTTAAGTGACTTAAGTTACATTTTTCAAATTTTAAGACACAATTTTGATAATTTTTTATTTTTTGCTTTACACACTAAAAGTAAATTAAATTCTCTATAAAAATCTTAAAACCAAAATTTAATTAATATTAATCTTCATATATTTATTCTCAATCAAAAAAAAATACTAAAAATTCAAAAAAAATTGATTTTCCAAACATTTTTTCAAATATCTCATAAACTATTAAAAATTTTACAAAATTTTCTTCAGAATATAATAAAGAATTAAATTCTTTATCCCCTACCATCATTTAAAATGTTATAACATTAATTTTAACCCCCCAAAACTAAATTTAACTTCCCGGTGATTTCAATGCGCGCCCCAAAACAAACACTGCATAAATAACTAAATACCTAATTCTAGAATCCTCCTCCAATTGTTTCAATTGTTTTAAAATAGAATAAGATTGAGCATGACACGCGATTCATCGCGATCGAACCGCGGCTCGATGATGGTTATTAGCGCTTCGTTTGCGGCAAAGTCGAAGGTGACCTCATTCAGGACTTCCCGAAATAAACAAATCCAAGGTTTTCTCATATATCGAACATTTCGTGCGAACATCGCACCGCATTCATATTAACACACACAAAAAAAAATAAATACTCAATCTTAAACGGTTTCAACTTAAAAATTGACATGTCTAAGGACAACTTTTAATGTCATTTAGTTTGTTAAATTATTACATCATTAATCATAAAATTTCCGAATACCAACTTATAATGAGTTTTCGTTATTTTTCTCTTCACTACTCTACTCTACCTGCTATAGATGATTCATATATCTATCGTAAAAGTCGTGTAAAAATGATTACGGTGCAAATTAGTCATAATCTAGTTTTAGTTTTCCGACTATCGCCGCATTTCTATAACTATAACGTGTGAACCTGCGCGCGCACTCAGCGCTGAGTGTCTTCGGGCGTTTCGGTCGTGTTTCGCTTCGATTTTCGATTTAGTTCAGCACGAAACATGTGGGTGGATATGGATACGCACAGATTTGCTAGATTTACACGTATGGACCATAAAGTTAAGTTTAAGTAAGCTAAGAGTATCATAAAGTGTGCTTAAAAGTTACATAAAGTTGAAATTATTAGAAAAAAAAAAATGACGTCAAGTTCTTATGAAACTATAAACGGAATAAAACTAATTTATTGGGATTCTGATGAGCTCATGTGTGTGGTTTGATGTGGATTAATTGATGTGCAAAGTAGGTGATTAAATAGAATCCGGATTAAGGTTCGATATGTGTGTGTGTTGGTAGTCTCAATTGTAATACAATGTTGATTCAGTAATTAACAATGAAGTGTCATTAATTCTTTGAAAGTTAGAGTGCATCTTGTTTACGAGGAATAAATTTATGTGAAAACCCCGAGAAAAACCTTAAAAATTAAGGCTATTTATTAAGAAAATTAAATTTTGTTTAAACAAATTTATAGTGCAATAAATTAACTATAATATAAACAAAAAAAAAATAAATTTTATCATTGTTTTTCGGGGTTAAATTATAAGAAAAGTTTAAAATTACAAAATTTTTCAATGTTTTTTCAAACATTTTTTCAAATAACAACAAAACTAATTAATTTTTTAAAATTATTTTCTCAGTAAACAATTAAGAATTAAATTCTCTATTAACTACTTTTTTGAAACAAATTAATATCAAAACGCTTCCCTATTTAATTTGCACTTAAAGCTCTAACGCTCGACTCAGCGACTAACAAAAATTCAAAAAATTTTGATACATTTTTTCAAATAACAAGAAAACTACTCAAGATTTTTCAATTATTTCTTTAGTAATTTATGAAGAATTAAATTCTCTATAAACTACTTCTTTAAAACAAATTAATATCCTAACGCTTCCCTATTTAATTTGCATTTGAAATATCAAAAACTCTAACGCTCGACTCAGCAACCAACAAAAATGTCTATATTTTTTCATTCATTTTTTCAAATAACAACAAAACTAATCAAAATTTTTCAATTATTTCTTCAGTAATTAATTAAGAATTAAATTCTCTATAAACTACTTTTTTAAAACAAATTAATATCTAACTCCTTGCCTATTTAATTTGCACTTAAAGTTAAAGAGACTCCAACGCTCGACGCAACGACTAACCAACTCTTTTCCAGATTAATAAATGCCTGTGTTAAGTGTCGATAACATTGTAAAACGTATATTTAGCTCTTTAGCGCGTTAAACTCCTGAGTGCGGCTATATCTTTTTTTCTTGCTTGCACCGTCTGTTAATTGTAATTGTTCAAGGCGTAATAGGTGTAATGAGTGTAATATCGCGTGGAAAAATGACGCCGCTTGCGTTCTGTGCCGTTTCACACGATTCCCACCATTGTCTCCGGCGTTTCATGCTCGAAAACCGACGACAGACACGAAAAACGCAAACAAAAGCGAGCGTATCGCCGATCATAATTATTTAATAGCCCGCACGCGTTGACACGGCTCATTTTTCATCAGCATAATGCACAATTAACAATACACTCTAATAGAGAACAAGGATTTTATTCGAAAATTTTACAACACAAGCATTCAATTTACAATTTGTCGCAACAACTATTTCGACAGTTTACCACAGAGCGCGCACATGATGACAAAGTAAAATTAATTTCCGTGTGTGTTTTATTAAAGTGGATTATAAAGCGTCTAGTTTACGACGGGCTGTAAAAATTCTTGGACTTCTTCGGCGAGCCGGGGAATGCGCGCCCGATGCATTTTCTATGTTCCACGCTGGAACTTCTTCGAATCGAAATCATAAACAACAACAAATCTCGCAGCGGAAAATTTGAATCGTCGAAGATCAAACACATTTTTCAGACACAAATATTTCGTGACAACGCGGGCAATAATTCAAAAAGAAAAACGCAATTAGCAGCACAATGAATTTCTGCAGAAAGAAATGGAACATATTGAGTTCTAATGGTTTCTAATAAGCGCGAGAAATGCGCGTAAATCGCGAACGATCGCTAATTAATGGCGATAAAATCACTCCGCGCGACAATTCGAAAGAGAGCAAGAAATCGACCGGTGCTAATTATCGCATTCATCGCTCATTTATCGCCGGGTAATCGCTACAAATGATATCAATAAATGGGCATTCAGTGGATGAAGATATCCCGGACATGTCTTTGAAGTTTTTCAATGGGAAACCGACATAAAATTGATAATATAGAACAAAATCGAGCATCAAAAGGTTTTTTTCATAGCGTTTTGCTATAGTTTTGAGTTGATTTCTCGAGCGTGAGTGTTCAAACTGTTCAAAAGTTAGCGTTTTAAACGGGCACCGCCTCCGCGGCGTCGTGAGGCCTCAATTTAACACCTCTGCTCTTTTGATCTCGGCCCGTCTCGCGTTACTTTTAATCTTCGCTTCGCATTTTCGCTTTTTTAACATACTCATCATGCTCATCGCGCGAGAGACGTCTTTAGCCGTGTATGCGCGCGCGCATATTGTAGGTGGTAAAACAATATCCAGGCTTATTCTTCACTTCACGCCGGTTTAACGCGGCGGTAAAAAAATTGTGATGCTGCACAGCGCAGCGCACGATTTCTGCATTCCTGCACATAAAATAAAACAAAACCCACAAAAAAAACACAACAAACGCGCGTCTTCATACAGCCATATATTCTGATTTAGTATCGCGATAATAAAAAACCTAATTACAGCAATATTACAAAGTGAAATGTGCGATTTTTATTTTCGGAGAAAATTTTCGAAGGAGAAATCTCGAATTGGTTTAGAATTAAACGGAAATAAATAAATTTCTGCGCTGATAAAACGTGTGTGTGTGTGTGCAGGACGAGCGAAAAAGAAGGAAAGTACTTTTACGACTTGTATCATTACTTAAGTGACTTGGAGTGCGCTTTTTCAAGCGCTCTTTCGACATGCGCGGCTTGAAGCCATCAGGCTGGCCAATGATTTCACGCGTGGATCTAAAGAGGCACAAAGTATTTCCGCGTTTTCAAAACGAAATAAAAATCGATGTGTTTGACATGCGGTACAAGTGTCGAACACGACGCAGAAAAAAAATTTGAAATTTTAGGTTAAAACTAGTTTCGCTTTTAGCGCAAGAGTTGCTCCTTTATTTGCGCAGACAAATGTTTGATTTACTCATGCTGAGTCAATAATAAAAACCTCGGCGAATTTCACATATGAAATTTTCTCTTCTTCGGCGTGTTTCACGCTCACTTGCGATTTTCCTTTCGTTCTTTCCAATGATTGGACACAAATTTCGAAAATCTCAAAATCTCAAAATGTTTGTCACTCTAGAGTCATCATAATTTGTAACATACGGTGAATCAAACTCAAGTAAAAAAGAAAAATTTTTTTTTTTTCTCTGTGTGTGGATGAATCTAGTTGACGTTTGACATGCGGGACGAATCTCGCACGCACAACAAGCGCCCTAACACGCCTCGTTTAAAAGGTTCTGCTCTGACTTTCGGATTGTGTGTTCCATTTGTTACATTTCCAAAGATTTGCGCAAGTCATCATCATCTTGCCGCATCAGAGGTCGCATCTCGTCCATCTCTCACACGCTCGCGCAAACATAACCAACAAAAGTGTACCTATAAACTTTTTAAGTCATCTTTCTGCGCGCAAACGGTGCGAAATTCAGCGCGCAGGGAAAAATTACACCTTTTGATGTTTTATTGATATTTAATATTACGCGTGAATGGGACGCGATGGGATGAATAAAAACAAAAAACAACGTCGTAGGCAACACATAATACACCAGTGGGTAACGGTTGCAAAAGAAGAAAATCGATTTCAATTCATCGTCAGCTGCCTCCGGTCGTTTAGCCACAACTAAACTGTCATTCAATGGGTGGATCAATTGAATTAATTATACAATAACAACATCCGGTATTAATTTTTTCGCAATTAATCATTACTGGTTGCCTATATTGATTTTTCTTTCTTTTATTTTGTGCTAAATGTTTCGCCGAGTGTGAATCTAACCTTGTTACGAATTTAAATTCGCAACTTTTGCGCAATGCGCGCAATTTTCGCGCGTGAAATCTCCGCAAACCGATTAAGACTTAATTGGAGCCATTTATAAGTACACCACAATTAAAAACAAATCACAATCTGTGTACTCGTATATAAACACGTTTTAATTTGTTTCCGTTTTGAAACGCGAATTTTTCTGCTTCAACAGCCGCTGATCTGTTGCAAAGTGTGAAAAAAAAGTGTCGCAACACCCACGATTACAAACTGTAACTATATCACGACCACACAATTTGCGCGATTTGCAATTACGGCCGCAATTGCGCGCACAATTAACGCACAATTCTCAAGTGCAACAGCGCGCACCATGACTCACAATTCACAAATCTGCACTTGCACTTAAAAATAAACACGGCGCACGCGTAATGAGACTTACAGTTACAGTTGGCATCGGAGTCAGAGTCGAAATTGCACTAATTACGAACGCTGCGACCTTAAACTAAAACCGCGCTGAATTGCGAACAAGCGCCGAGAGTGTGCGAGAGTCAACCAAGCAGAGCATTATGTAATCAAAAAGAGAAGCAAAAATACACACAACAAACAAATACTACAATTACGAATTGATGGAAGATTACAATCACTACGAATTGTGCTTAACTAATTGACTGCGGTGATTTTTAACACGTTTTCAGCGTTAAAATGCTCTTAAACACTAATTGTCAATTATCAATAAGAAAAAATATGAAAAAATGTCATTATTTGTCACTACTCGTCAGCTGTCATTTAATTTTTCATCTTGTTAGCGCAGTTTTTGTTTTAAACGATTTTATGATTACATCCGGGTCATAAATTTACCAAACTCATAATGCACATCCAAAGTTTCGAAATTTTTCGTTGCGCATCGACATTTCGTCTCATTAGAAGAAATTACGTGCGCGGAATTAAAACAGTTATGAATTTCGCCGTCGATCGGTGTTAATTAATGTTAATTTTTTTGGACTCGAAATCTTTTTACGACATTTTTACGAATCGTGTGATTTACTCCACTAATTATATTGATTAATGTTCTTCTTTTCTTTGCAGATGAATCAACAGTGCAAGGTTTGCGGCGAACCCGCAGCGGGTTTCCATTTCGGCGCTTTCACATGCGAAGGATGCAAAGTAAGTGTATAACTGGTTGCCTATAGTTGAAAAAATCTACTTTTTATAGAATACTATCCCTACTAATATTATAAATGCGAAAGTCCTGATGTTTGTTACACTTTCACGCAAAAACTACTTAACCGATCATCATGAAAATTTGTACACATATTCTTAGTGGTCCCCGAATGGTTATAGGCTACTTTTTATTTAATAAAAAAAATTATTTTTTAAATAAAATAAAGAAATTGTTTAGCCAATAATACCTCTGCATCTGGCTATTTGACTACTTTAACGCCATCTAGCATTCCAGCATTGAAGCTCAAACCTAAGTACTATAGTACCATCACTGTATTACCGACAGCTACGTCAACATCAAATCCAATTGACTACACTATGGAGACTGTACACTATACTTCCATAGACTATACTTTCAGCCATTTTAAACTTCCCGCCATTCTACTTCATTGTTACTTCTTCTGTGACTACAGACGCGTACGGAAGCAACTTCATTATTTTAGATATTCGCGAGCGAAGCCGCGGGTTAAATTACTATGATGACACGCAATGATAAAAAAAATGCAAAATTGCAGTGATACATTTTATTTAATGTTTACTACGTTTATCGATTCGCGCGTAATTGCAGCGCAATTAAAACGCAAGACGCACACACGCTCTGGCGCTATTACGCCGCTTGCGTAATTTGCTACAACTTTGTTTCGACGCTACACAGTTGCGACAATTGCACGTGGATGGCATAGAAATCGATTTATGTTTAAATATCAATCGTAAAAATTCAGTTTTATTTCATCACCTTAACAATTTTAACGATTATAAATACAAACAGCGTGTTTAACGTTTTTGGTTATGTTTTGATTGTGACGTAATGAAGACATAGAACATTTGAGGAGTCACGCATGCGTATCTCGGTGTTTGCGGCTCGTTTAATGCTCTAGTTGAGCCGAGGTGCGCTCTGATAGTTTCGGCAGCGTCTCGGATACCTTCTCGCGAAAACAAAAGCGATCCGCCGGAATAAAACACAATGGGCGCAAGGCGAGACGGCGAGAAAATGGCGCGACAAAACACACACAACGCCGGCAGTTACGCAACACACAAAACGCCCGTCATTTCGATTTCCGATTCGGTCGGGCATGAAAACTCGGCCAGACAATTCAACACAAATTACACAAATTGCCACAATAAACTTATAAGAATAAACAAACAACAATTGAAAATAAAAGTGAAGATACTGATAACCACGCGATCAAAGTTGATTCACTTTTCTTGTTGTTGCATTGACGCAATAATTTCGATGATAAACACCGTCGTGTTTTAATGGAAATTGTCTGTCCCGGCGGTTTTAATCGACTTCAAAATAAACAAAACTAAAGTAAAACAAGTTGTGCGCTGTGTTAATTTCCTTCGTTTGAGGGCCATTCGCAGAGGATGCTTGCAATTTCACTTTCAACAATCGCCGAACAACAAAAATCACTCAAGAAACAAACGCCGTGGTAGATTCATCGACTCATCGCGGTTCGGTTATGTTTGAGTGTGCATTGTTGGTTGCGTCGTAAAGGGCGGCATTGGTGGCGACGCCTAGTTGAGCATGTAGAGCATTAGGTCGGATGTGAAGTAACGCACAAGCAAAACGAAAGTGTTAGAATGACAACAGAGATGGCGGCACGCTCGGGCGGCCAAGTGTGTAATCGCGACTAATTGCAATGCATTACATTGCGTGTGTATCATTTTGTACGTCTTTTGTTATGCAAAAATCTAACCTATAAAAATTAATTTCTTCTTTTTTCTGTTATTACAGTCATTCTTCGGTAGATCCTACAACAATCTGAGCTCAATCTCCGAGTGTAAAAACAACAGCGAGTGTGTAATCAACAAAAAGAATCGCACCGCGTGCAAGGCATGCCGCCTCCGGAAATGCCTCATGGTCGGCATGTCAAAATCCGGATCACGTTATGGCCGCCGATCAAACTGGTTCAAAATCCACTGTTTACTCCAGGAACAACAACAAGCACAACAAAATATCAACCCGGGCGGAAATAGTCATAATCACCAGACAGTTAAACAACCACAACGGACCCCCGCCACATCATCCTGGACTAAACCTAGGCATGCTCAATCATCAATTCCCCCCACCAATGCTGCATCTTCCAAAAACAAAAGAAGAACTCATGTTGTTGGGTCTAGATGATTATCATAAACACGCAACATCACCTTCTGTTAGCTCACCGGAAAGTCACAACTCCGATTCATCGGTAGAAGTAGGAGATGCACGAAGAATGCCTATATTCCCTGGATTTCTACCTCCTTCATTCCTGCCACCTCCTAACCTCTTATTTCCACCCGGATATCCTCCAATATACCCAGGTTTATTACAACCTGTTAACTTCAACGCGAATAACAACAACACAACAACAAACAACAATAATAACCGAATGATGCGGAATTACAACCCGGGCGTTGAAGTATTCAGCAAGAGGATATTCCTAGATGCAGTGTTGCAAAGTCAACGCACTCCAACACCAGAGGGCAGGGAGAGACAAGGATCTGCAACACCTGAAGCGCCACCTAGTGCCGACTCGCCGATACAAGACGACCCTATTGACTTGAGTATGAAAACAAGCGAAAGAGGGAGCTCACCGGCAAACAGTGAACATTCAACTCCATCTGAATCCAATTTCGAACGTGGTTCCGAAGCGGATGAAGAAAGCGGCTGTGAGTCCGAACGTGAATTGAAACGGATCAAGTTGGTACGGCCCACGCCGCTGGACCTCACCACGAAAGTTTGATGCGATGATGAATTGGTATCTCCACCGTGTTTGTGTTCCCCTTTCACACATATTTCCTGAATGGCCAGTAAAGCGCGAAACAAGTATTATTTAGGACATGAATCAATTTTTAATGGCACGATAAAAATATTAGTCATCAATCTAGTTCTTATTGCACGTCGGGCATCGCTAAGGTGGTCTACGTAAATCTTCTTCTACTGACATAAAGTTCTGTGCGCCATCTTGTGACGGTAAAAAAAAATAAACACTGGAAAAAGAACGCGAAATGTTACCATAAAATATAATATTTTAGTGTGTAAGATATGAACGCAGCGGGCACTCTGTTCATAAAAGTTAAGTGTTGTAAAGACTCCAAGACGCGCGCGCGCATGAGATTACGAGACAATATAAATTTCGCAGCATTCAACCACGCCGTCAATTCCAATCTTTTCCTCTTTTTCTTGTTAAAATATTTTGTACAAATTATTAAAACACTCTGTATAAAAATGCATTCGCAGACGTATTGAGACGATTGGCCAGTATAACGAACAATTGTGATGCGTAGACACGTAACCTATTAGAAATGTCAAGATTCAAGATGGCGCTCTCACAGCTACTCAACGGTTTAGCCAGGGGTAGTAGCACTACGATTACTGTACATAGCTAGTGTATACTTAAGTGGAAAACATCTAGCGACACCTATTAGGCGAATTTGTTGACACGTGTGTGTGTTATTAATGAGATTATCTGTTTTTTTTTGCATATTGTAATAATTTTTATTTGTATAATTTTTTTTTGTAATAGTTGGGGCATTATTTTTTCCACACGCGATTTTTGTAGGTTTTGTTTGGTTGGATTAGCGAAAAATCACTGGTAGATAATTAATTAATTGAAAATAGAGAAAGAAAAGACGCGGAAACACTACAAATTGAACGTCGCAAGCGATTGTACATACTATTTTTACTATTTTATTATTATATAAATTATTATGATTTTATTTTGTTAATAGATATTTTTATTTGTCGTGAAAAACGAAAAAACTTGTTTTATTTCCATGAATTTTTTATTTTCAGGTTTTAATATAGGCAACTTTACCCACACAAAAATTTTAAAAACTTTATTTTTACATTTTAAGGTTAAAAAAATGCAATTCAAACAAAAATTCTTTTTATTTTTAATTCAGGTTGTTTCTCAGTGGTAATTACAGCAGTGTAAACTAAATAATCGAAATAGTTCACATCGATCGCATCGATCAGTTGGAGTTTGAGGTTAGAAATGTTTAGAAACATGCGCCATGTGCGCCGCCGGCGCGCCAAGCTAATTACGCCACATAAAATCCGAATAATTATGAATAGAGATCATTTGTAGCGGACAATTTCTTTAATTAGCGAACGCGGCGCGCATTTTTCTCCGCTTTGTTTCAACGTGGACTTTAAACAGCGTCTATTACTCGTTGCTTACACGAAAAAATCTTCCCGAGTGCTTTATCGTCGCTGATGAACTAAGCAGACGTGCGTATGTATCTCTACTCCTCACTCTACGCCGCGCACGCCAGCCGAGAATGAGAGTGTAATTAATCTGTTGTTTTTTCTTTCACGTCGATGATGAGCGACGAGTTATGCCACAAGAGCGATAAATAAGCGCGCATTATGCGTCGCTTGTTCAGCGATTATTTATGTTTTGCTTATTTCTAAACACATTGAAAACGAAATTATTCGGTGAGTAAAATATCAATTTCTTTTAATGAGTCATGAAACACACATGTGCTAAATGCGTAATGGTTTTCTTCATTTTTTTAATTGCCTGAATTATCGTTTGTTTGTTTGTGGTGAAGTTTAATATCAATATTGTCGATAGTTTCTATAGATTTCTGATGATATTTGATAGATAACACACTTGATTATTGGCTATTATATTTTAATTGCTAATTTATTAAATATTTGAGTAATTATTAGTTGGGAGAGTGATCTATCACGAGTTTATGCGGTTGAAGAGTGAAAAAAGTTGCCTAAGTTTTCTGTATCTAATAATTCTAATATGAGTAATATTATACATACAAATATAATGTTTTTGTATGTTTGTGACGCGATTACGCAAAAACCACTCAACCAATTTTGATAAATTTTGGTTTGGAGATATTTTGGATCTAGGAGAATAACATAGGCTACTTTTTGGTGAGAAAATATAACTTACAGGGTGTGCAAAATAGTTTGCAAGTTTGTGCAACGAAAAAGATAAATGACGCTGACGCATGCAAAAAAATGTGATGAAAAAGCCTTTTGAAGATGCCTATCGGTATTTACGTATTGAATATTACACATATAAAATAAAGAAAATCCATGCTTCTTCCAGGACCAACTATATGTAGTCTGTTCGCGTGTGTCCAATGCCCGAAATCTGCACGTATTTGCACCGGGCGGAAGAACATCCCTACTAATATTATAAATGCGAAAGTCCTGATGTTTGTTACACTTTCACGCAAAAACTACTTAACCGATCATCATGAAAATTTGTACACATATTCTTAGTGGTCCCCGAATGGTTATAGGCTACTTTTTATTTAATAAAAAAATTATTTTTAAAATAAAATAAAGAAATTGATTAGCCAATAATACCTCTGCATCTGGCTATTTGACTACTTTAACGCCATCTAGCATTCCAGCAATGAAGCTCAAACCTAAGTACTATAGTACCATCACACTGTATTATCACACTGTATTACCGACAGCTACGTCAACATCAAATCCAATTGACTACACTATGGAGACTGTACACTATACTTCCATAGACTATACTTTCAGCCATTTTAAACTTCCCGCCATTCTACTTCATTGTTACTTCTTCTGTGACTACAGACGCGTACGGAAGCAACTTCATTATTTTAGATATTCGCGAGCGAAGCCGCGGGTTAAAGCTAATTGTGATATATTTTAATGAATCAATGAATCATTTTCCCAGGGAAAATTTGGCACAATATTCAATTTAGTTGTCTTTTTCTAAACATATGCAGATTTGAGTCTTGTCTCTGAAATTTATTGAATGCTTAAGCATCCTTGAATCAACGTGTTGTTTGCGCCGGTGTCGTGTTGCTCGTGCAGCTCCTCTCGTTCGCGGGCCGCAGATGTCGTGATTGGAAGAGAATTAATTACCCGCTGCGTCTCTGCTACATTTCTCGATGCGAGCGCGGCAAACAATCGTAAATAAACATCGATGAACATCGAGGCGTAACTTGGAAATTTGTAGGCGGCCACATTCGCGTCGCTTCGCTCGCCGGCGGTTTGTGTGTTCACTTGTTTCGCTCGTTTCACTTGTTCGCACGCGAGACGAGGTCAGCATCTCTCGTTCGTTCGTGAGATATTAAACGAATGGTGGAATATCGTGAATAAATATAAATTATCGCCCGACGAGAGAGGACGACCGTGTCTGCGTGTGTGTGTGTGTTTGTTTGTATGCGCGAATACGGCTTTCCGCGCCTTTTTCTCCGGCCGGGACGACAAATTGTGGGTGGCCCCAGCGCGCATAAAAAAATCAATCGTGCCGTGAATCGGTGAAATTTACGACCGGCTGTAAAAAAATTATATCTGCGCCCAAGGCGTCAGGTAGTGAAGCAAATCAATAAAATAAAACTAAATCAGTACAATATTAACCAACAGAATCTTATAGGCTATGCGTCAGAGGGCGCTGTGACAGTAAAATAAGTTGCCTACGTATTTATCTCAGACTAAAACAGAATTCAGCCTTAAAACTATTCAAAACTCCTTAAAACAATGAAATAAATCAAAAAATGTATTAAATATGTCAAAATAACCTTCTAAACTATGCAATAGATGGCGCTTTTTGATGTAGAATAAGTTGCCTATGTATTAATTGACATATTAACAAAACTTAAACTTAAAACTATTCAAAACCCATTAACACAACAAAATAAATCTAAAAATTTAATAAATAAGTCAAAATAACCTTCAAAACTATGCGTCAGATGGCGCTTTTTCAAGTAAATCAAGTTGCCTATGTATTTATTTACGTATTAACAAAACTCAGACTAAAAACAACTCAAAACAACTCAAAAAACATAAATAAATCAAAAAATTTATGAAATTACTCCAAAAAACCCTCTAAACTATTCACCAGATGGCGCTGTTGTAGTAAATTAAGTTGCCTACATATTAACCTTCAACAAAAACGGAACTCAGTCTCAGAAACTATTCGAAACATCTCTAAATCATAAAATAACTCACGAAATTTATGCGTAACATTGAATCGGTAACTCGTTCGATATAAACGACTAGAAATAAATTCAAGACCAATATTATCGAATATTTATCACGTCGGAATCCCAAACTATTCCGAAAAACGTCGAAATCCAATAAAATCCGAACGATTCGAACGATATAGGCACCTCAACTTCGACTAACTGTAACAGCGTGTGCCCGCTGAACCGATTAAACACAAGCGCAATAAACATAAATAAATAACGCGTGTGTTAAATATAAAACTAATTTACTCAACTATCTTCTACGCGCAGTGATGGCGTGATTTTTTATGAGGTCATATCAATTCAATTTTGGCATCGCTCAGCGTGACGCTGAAATTAAAAACGTTGATATTTAAGTGGATTAAACAGATTAGCAACACATGCTAAACACGATACAACATTATCGAAATTTATCGCGCGCATAAAAACTCAAAATTAGATATGTTACACAGTTATGATGTTTTGACAGCGCCGACATGTTTACAACCGTTAGCGAAACATATTTCGAGGTTAGGTATTAAAAATCAGCCATTTTGTTTGAGTTTAAGGTTAGATTCGTCTGAATTTGTGTTTATTTTTATATACGCCCATCAAAATGCTTCAAGATGTTAAAATTCCGCATTTTTATCGTTGTTATCGTCGATTACCATCTTTTGTTCTGCGTCTGCGTGTAATTTAATCTCCGTGTGTGGAGGATCCACGGGCGCTCTTTATGCGTTTGCTTGGCGACGATGACGTTAATACGCTCGAAAAATCTCCACTTTAATTTAAATCATCCACAAGAAAAACACACAGAAAAAAATATTATGTTGCTGCGGCATTGGTATCGTCGCGCCCGGTATAAATTATTGTTATTATTACTTATGGACGCGGTTTAGTGGCGCGATTAAATGCGTGAAATATTTTTAATGGCCGACTGCTCGACTTCGCATGCATGGAGGCTTTTTTTTGCTTTTCGCGAGTACCTTCCATGTTTATAATGCGTTTTTTTTCGATTTAGGAATGTCGACAACGACGACGTTATCTGCGCTATCTCGGTGAAGTGCGTCTTTTAATTAAATCGCTGCGCGCGCGCACACGCTATCAGCGCCCATCGGGCGTTAATTCATATTTCGCATTTTAATTGCGAGCGTAAAACAGATGGCGAAATGTTTCAATTAATATCCGCCGGGAGAGGCATGAGAAAATCTGAAATATTCCATTTCAAAATTTCATAAAATTATTATCAGTGGCTTATCAATTTTGTTGGAAATTTACAAGCATTGATCATGTGTCAGATAGGCAACACAAATTACACCAACATAAATAACATGTATTTAATTACTTAGAGAACTAAATTAAATAACTTGAATATAGATGGCGTTAGTTATGCGTAAATGGTATATTTTGAGGTTATTTTTGTTTAATTTGCGTGAAAAACTTAATTAATTAAGTTTTAAAAAATTCAATTTCTTACAAGTTTTATGTGTTTAGTGAGAAACAATAAAATTTAATTGTCTTTAACATAAATACGTATAGTTATGATGTACTTGCTGTAAAGTACAAGATGGCGACGCGCAAAAACCACCTAAAACACTCTGCCATCAATTATGAGCTAAATATGCCGTGACACATTTATCATCCTGG